ATGCTGGTGCTCTAGTGCAACATTAAGTGAATTACGTATTTATAAACTTTAAAAAATGAACTCAAGTCAGGTCCATCCTGTCTTTCTTTAGTTATGCATGACAGATTTACCCACACAAGTAGAGTCTAAACAAAATACCAGTTACTGAAAAAAGTAGTTTCGGCAAGGAAAATCACATTTCTTTCATCTAAAGCAGCTTGCATGATATTACGCATTGCAGCTTTTAAGATCGGGGGGGGGGGGGGGGGGGGGGGGGGGGGGGGGTACCCAAAAAACGCTGCTCATATGTAATTCAGCTGTTCCCTTCTAAGAAATAACTAAACATGAGCCCCATTTCAGTCTCTGCACTTCAATACTTACAGCTGCAACTGTTAACATATCAAACACTTTGGTGCAATAGCGCCAGGCATTTGCATTCCCATACTTAGTCTGGCACTCATCTGTAAGACACAAAAGCATTCATTTATTTCACAACAGAAGGGTGTGATTATTGTTCAGGATGTGAGATTAATAACAACGTAGTCTGCAGCTGTCATAAGCCAAACCTCACCATAAAAGCCATATACTTGGGTGATCTGTCTGCTCTCATGGTTTCCACGTAGAAGTGTGATGCGGTCAGGCCATTTGGCTTTCAGCACCAGCAGGTAGGTGAATGTCTCCAAACTGTAATACCCTCGGTCAACAAAGTCACCCTGCAGACCACAGAGGTTTACTACTGACACTGCGCCAAAACAGCAACCACATAGAATGCATTAAGATAGATGGCTCTCAAGTTCAAACTGCCTTCAGTATACAAACCATGAATATGTAATTTGTGTCCGGCACCTGACCACCGGTTCGGAAGAGTTCACAAAGATCATAAAACTAAGACACAAAGAGATACAAATTTAGTGCAAGAAGTATATTTTATGTGTACCACTGACCAATATCACATGCTATATAAACTGCTCAGCAGTATTAGGCTAAACAAACGTCCTCTTTCTGCTTTGAATCAGTGCTTTTTACCTGTCCATGTATGTCACCACACACTGTTACAGGAGTAGAAACAGGCTGAACATTTGACTCCTCCAGCAGAAGG